GAAGACGATCGATGTTGATGATATGAGGGATGGAGATAAGAGGGGTGTTGACGATGTTGATGAGAGATGCAGATTATGAGGGATGTTGACGATGCAGATGATGAGAGGGGTGGAGACGATGTTGACGAGAGTGATGGAGATAATGTTTGTTGATAAGAGATACAGATGATGAGAGGGTTGTTAGTGATGCAGTTGATTGGAGGGATGGAGACGATGTTGAAAGGAAATTGGGCACATATTGTTCAAAGGGTAATGAGAAGAGGAAGTGGCTCTTATTAAAAAAAAAAGAAACACATGTTAAAATATACGGGGCACTTATCAATTCGAAAGGTGGTAATTATGAGAAGGGGAAAGGGCACTTACAAGGAAAAAGGGCATTATTAGGAAGGAAAAGGGGGAGTGTTAAAATAACGGGCATTTATAAAAGATGAAAAGAGCACTTATCAGGAGGGGAATGGGTACTTGTCAAAGTAAATCGAGTATCTCTCAGAATAGAATAGGGTCATTTACAAGAGATGAAAAGGGGCACTCATGAGAATGAAAAGGAACTATTTTCATAGATGAAAAGGGGCATTTATGAAAAGGAGAAGGGGCTCTTTTTTAAATGGGGCACTTATTAAAAAGGAAAGGGGGCACATGTGAAAATATAAGGTGCGCTTATCCGAGTTAAAATGGGGGGTAGTTATTAAAAGGGGTAGGGGCGCTTATTACAAAGGAAAAGGGGCACTTGTCAAAGTAAGAGAGGCACCTCTCAGATTTGAATAGGGCAATTATCAGAGGTGAAGGGGGCACTAATCAAAAGTGAAAAGAGGCACTTCTCGTACCTGAAAAGGGGTACTTACTAGAGATTGAAAAGGGCACTTATGAGAATGGAAATTGGACACTTATTTCAAAAGAAAAAGGGAACTTGTCGAAGGAAAAGGGGCAAAAAGGGGCACATGTCCAAATAAAAGGGGCACTTATCAGAGTTGAAAAGGGGAAGAGGAACTTTTACAAATTAATAGGGGCACTTGTCGAAGTTAAAGGGGCACTATTCATATGTAAAAAGGGGCACTTTTTACAAAGTTAAAGGGGCACTTTTCGAGTGCTTGAAAAAGTGGAAGGCCATTGTGCCCCCCTGCCCCCCGGGAGGGCCGCCTCTGGCTGGTGTGCAGTACGTGTGTCGAGACAATACTGGTTGTTGACAAAGGAGCCACCCTCAATCAATCTTCCAAAATTCATAAACTCTCAGTTTTAATAATAATTTGAATACTAAGTCGATCAGTGGATTATAGAAACGCATGAAGCTTCCAGCCCAGAACATAAGTGTGCAAATATATTTGGGGAGGGCGGGGTCAATGATAGCCTATCCGAGCCCGAACAAAATATTAGGGGGGGGGGGGGCTCAAGATAACCGAGCCCAGCCAATATATTGGGGGGCTCAATGATATCTATATTAAGCCCCGCCAAAAATATTAGGGGGGGCGCAATGAAATCTGAGACCCCCAATATTTTTATTGGGGGCTGTGCCCCCCCCCCCAAGCCACCCGGTTCCTAAGCCTATGCAACAGTCTATTATATAAGAATATAACTAAGCTGTAAGCATTTTCAGATCCAGTGTTGAATTGTCGTCAAGCTGAGGAGCGACAATTCAACACTGGATCTGAAAAAAAATATTGGGGGTCTCAGATATATTGGGGGGGGGGCTCAATGATATCTGAGCCCCTCACAAATAAGGCGGGGGGCTCCGTGATATTATCCTAGCCTTACCAAAAATAATTGGGGGTCTAATGATATCAGAGTCCCACCAAAATACTTGGGGGTCTCAATGATATCTGAGATCCACCAAATACATTTTTGGGGGTAACTTTTAGGAGTAAAATATGATTATCTGATTATGAAAAAGAAAAATTCCATTCCTTTATTAATCGAATATTCTACTCTGAATGACTAATCTAGTATATGATAATGATGTATACAGTAGATATAGATCTAGAGTCTAGGTCTAGTTTAAATCAAATTGGATATTCTACTCGGAATGAATAATGATAATACAGTAGATATAGATCTAGTTTGATTAGTTATACTCACACATCACTCGATCAAATTGGGCAGTACAATCGTGCAATGCAGTGCAGCAGCCCGGCACGAGTCAGTGAATTCCCCCGCCGACCCGGCCGGCGGCGCTGTACTGCTAGCTGCACACTGAGCTGAGCTGCTGCGGTAGCACTAGGCAGTAGTCTGCTAATTTACGGCCAGGACGAAAGAATGTGAACAAACATCAACCATCTCGTCTAAAATGTATTATATTCGACTTCTCAATAATGAAATCTGTGTCAGGAATAAAAATAGACCTTCATACGAGATAAAAATGATATTTTTGCAGTGATTTACCGACAAAAACACTGCTCGAATTTCAGTGGTCCGAGTAGATACAACGCACATTTAATGTACGTGCGGCAATGCGATTTGCGAGCTGTGAGTAAATGGTCCGAAATGCCGTTTTTTTGTCATTTTACCTAAAGAGAAGTTATAGATTGTCTTCAATAGTATCATTTAACACAATTACATTACAGATTGTGGTTGAAAATGGCATTATTAAGTCACAATGAGCACAAACATATACACATTGGTATCTCTCGATCGATTAAATTTGTCGGGACATCTCGCCCCAGTCTTTGAGGCCGGGGCGAGATGTCCCGTGGGGCGAGTTAGCCCGGATTCATTGCAGGGACGTTACATCAGGGGCGGATCCATGCAGCCAGCGGGGAGGGAGGGGGCTCGAGAAAATATTTAGCAGCAACTCCTTTCTCATCATATCTTATGTGAATGCTTTTGGTATTTCCACTTACTTATCATTGGTTCTCTTCTCCTTTTCCTTATGAATATTCAGTCTTACTCTCAAATCCTATTTTGCTATTGGTTGATTATGTTTTTATTTGAGAAAAAATATGAGTGCAGGAAAACGTATTGAAATCTTCAGATGAGCAATATAATGATAATGAACAAACAAACAAACAAACAAGGAAGAAAAGAAGATGTTAATTATTTTTTCAATTCATTTTAAAATCAGAACAACAACAAAATGTTGGGAAAAGTATATTTTTGACAATGTATATTTGAAGAGTGTATAGCATTTTGGATTCAAAGGTGTCAGTATGACAATGTTTTCCAAGTAATTCATGACTATTTTTTTTTTTTTACTTCTGTAGTAGAGACTTAGAAGATATATCCTGAATGTAATTGTAAAGGTATCAAACTATTCTTTATTGTTAAGTACATATAAAAGTAATTTGTCGTCAGTGGCTGTTCAAAATAGAAATAGCAAAATTTGAAGAAAAGAAAACTAATCTGCATGAGTAGACGTATCCGATGTTTAAATTAATGTTTTAGCTCTTTAAAAAAAATGAGGACATTTTTAGTTGAAAGGGAAGTTTATGATGAGTTAAAATTGGACTCATTCCATACTTGGATTTGTTACAATTACTATTTGTTTCTCTAGTCTCTTCTCTCTATATACATATATTCATTTCACATCATTTGCATAGATATGGCCTTTTGCACATGGAAATTAACTGAAAACCCATCATTTACAGGCATTCTGGCTAGAGACATGAAACAAAGCTTAATATACTATTTTAATAATTGTTATCGGTTCCTATTGCTTAGTTTGTTTATGATATTTCGACAATTATGTGAGAGAGACGTACTAGAGACTAGAGTAGTACTCCAGTAGAGTAGTACTAGTAGTACAGTAGTACAACTATATACAAGCTCATTTACAGGCAGCACACCAGGGGAGTAAAGTGCCCGCCCCCCCCCCCCCCACTTTTTCAAGTACCCCAAACGTGCCCCTTTTTAATCAGATAAGTGCCCCATTTTTCCTTTGACAAATGCCACTTTCCCTCTTCTCATAAATGCCCATATTGAGATCTGATAGGTGCCCTGTTTCCTTCAACAATTCAAATGCCCCTTTTCCTTTCCGATAAGCATCCCTTTTCCATTCTCATAAGTGCCCCTTCTCAGGTATGAGAAGTGCCCCCTTCACATCTGATAATTGCCCCCATTTAAATCTGAGAGGTGCCTGTTTTTCTTTGATAAGTGCCCCTTTCCTTCTGATAAGTGCTCCATTTCATTTCTAATGAGTGCGCCTTTTCACCTCTGACAAAGGCCCGTTTTATTTCGACACGTGCCCCCTTTTTCAATCTGATTAGTGCCCATTTAGCTTTTCATGAAAAGCCCTTCCCCTTCTCATAAATTCAGCTCTTCACCTCTGATAAGTGCCCCTTCAATTTCAAAGCCTGTCCATTTTTCCTTTCTAAAGAGTACATATTTTCCTTCAGATGAGTGCCCCTTTTCAGGTATGAGAAATACCATTTTTCACTTTTGAAAAGTGTTCCTTTATCTCTGATAATTACATGTACCCCTATTTAAATCTTAGAGGTGCCCATTTCTTTGACAAGTGCCCCTTTACCTTTGTAATAAGTGCTTCTTTTCGTTTCTGATGAGTGCCCCTTTTCACCTCTGATAAGTGCCCTTTTTTCATTTATAAAAAGTTTCCTATGTCCTTCTGATAAGTGCCCCCTTGTACTTCTTTTATAAGAGTGCTTCCCCTTTTCATGAATACCCCTTTTGCACCTCTGATAAATGCTCCTATTCAATCTGATAAACGCCCATTTTCCTTTGACAAGTGCTCCTTTTCCATTCTCATAAGTGCCTTTTTCACCTCTGATAATTGCCCTTTTTCTACTTTGACACTTGCTCCTTTTCTTTTATTATAAGTGTCCTTTTCCCTTCTCTCAAGTGCCCCCCCCCCCACTTTTCCTTTCTCCATTACATGTGCCCCTATTAATAAAGCGACAAAGAGCAACTCTTTCCTATGTTTCTCATGAAGCTCCCCCCCCCCTCCCTCCACTCACTTGCATTTATAGTTGATATAATTACGTTTCTTATTAAAGGTCTTTTCAGTTTTTCATGATTACATTAGGATTTGTTCCTTTTTTTTCTTCTCTTTATTAGATGTAATGTTTTGCCCTGCAACCTCACAAATCTTAAAACTTGTTTGGAATTTTAATTTTAGAATTTCACCTTTTTTATTTATTTAGGCTTGTCCTACCTGACTATTGATTCTGTTACACGTGTTGCTCTCAATGCTTGGATGTTTCTCTTGTGATACGTTCAAGACTTGCTCCGTCATCGAGACCAATCGGAGACAACGATATCTATCAATCTATGAGTCATGTCTGGGTTTATTAATTCAAATCGAGGCGACATGGAGAGGGAACACCTTTTAGATGGAACAGGAGAAGATAGTGAAGAAGACCTGAAGAGAACGCGAGTTAATGCTCCTACTCGGTCGCTCAACAAGGAGTACATCATTTATAAAGAAAGATGGTACATTTTGGGCATTTTCTCAGCTTTAGCCCTTCTCTACTTGTGTAATTGGAATACCTGGGGACCTATACAAGACACAGGTAAGACAAGATTTGAATTCATGGGACTTAAATATTCAGAAACAAATGCAATGAGGGTTGTCAAGGACACAAAGTAATTCATTTTATTTGGAACTTTTTATTTGAAGTAGAAGCAAAAGCAAATTTATATACTTTTTTATTTTCACCCAAGCTTGGGCTCAATTATCACAGAGGGTGTCCTGCTTTCCTTGAGGAAGATGCCACATTATTTCTTTTAATCAACATTATTTCATAGGCTACCTTCTTGGGACATCCTATTTTTCAATTAGGACATTCAATTGTGAATTAATTCCTGGCCAGAAGCCTGTCTAGGCTTCATACATTAAACCTTTTTATGTAGGCCATCTAATGGAAATTTTAAAACTTTCTAAACAGGTTCTACGAAACACATTTGCCCCTATAGGAAGCAAATAAGTGACCACTATGGACAGGTGGTCTTTATAGAGGTGGCTGCTTAGGCAGATTTGACCGTATATTCTGAAAGTTACATATTAGTGAAATTTAAATCACCTCAACAAAATTTTCATTTGAAAAATATGTTGTGGATTAGTGTTAAGACCACAATATACACAAGACAATTTATTGAAATGTAATACCACTGTAAGCCTGCATGCTAATTAATGCTTCGTTTCAAAATGGAAATCCATCCTTAATAGCAAGCTAATATTGGTCCGGTCAATCAGGGTGTTTATGTGTGTATACTGGACATGGCCTGGGTATGTAATCAGAGGTCAAATTCCTATCTCAGGTCAAACTGATATCCTATCTCGATCAGTTCACTTACCGTATTTTATCAATATGATGTTTTCAACGATTGTTCTTCTTTGTTTGCACGTACATGTAAGTAGCTTCTGAGGTTCTGCAGTGGGGTCCAGGTCAATTTGCTCTGCTAGCCAACTGGGGCCCCATTTCATTTCTCACATCTGCTTTCTTCTTTTCATGGCTTCTTCATGCCAAAGGTCAGTATATCCACCATTCATTTTTTTTTAAATGATATCCCTAAAATATGTGTGACCCCTTTGCCCTGTAACTATACAAGAAGGCACAAGCCTTCTCAATCCAATTGTACAAAGAAGAGGGGGAAATATATCAAAATAGAGAGAAAGAAAAAGACCCATTATAAAGTTTAAATATTATCCTTATAAATGTCTTTGATGTGTTATACTATGGATATTTATGGTGTGTGTGTAAAAATATTTAGCCTATATGATTGCTTCTTTCTTAATTACCACACTGTTGATGTCAAAAGATTAAAAAACAATAGCGTCAGATTTTGGGCTGTTAAAGGGTACTTATATTATGTCATTTATTCCTCAGCAAGTTTGAACAATCAAAGAACTTTTAACTTTACCATTTTTATCTCTAACGTTTTTAGCTGTGACAATTTTACCTTTGTTATTTTGTACCACCATCTTTTTTTGGAGAAATTAGTTAAAAATCAGCCTAAAATCAGGCAATTGATTACCTCTATTTACTTTATTTACATGATGCCTTACTGTACAATGCATTTGCATGTATCCATACTTCAAAAAAACAGTGCTGTATAATCCTTGTATTGTAATATATTTTGCAGGTCTTCGTATATCAGTTCTGATTTCTGGTGGACTTCTTTTCATTGGATGTGGTATAAGATGTATCCCTGTATCCATAGCTATGATGAAATGGTATGAACAATCAAAAAGCTTTTAACTTTACCTTTTTTGTCTCTAACGTTTTTAGCTTTGACAATTTTACCTCTGTTATTTTGTACCACCATCTTTTTTACTATGAATTTTTTTCTATCTTTGTCTTTATTATATACCTTAGTTATTTTCACCTGTGCTATTCAGCTCCCCCTCTTGACATTTTATTTCCTGTCCAACTGTATCTACCTCTGACATTTTTACATTTGACCTTTGTACTGGACACCCTACAAATTCCATGACAACACCAGTACTCCACCATATTGTCATTTTTCAGGTAAAATTAACTGATGTAGCCCAATTAACACACCTAGCTAGCCCAAAATGTTCAGCTTAACCATATAATTATGTTCTAAAGACAGATTTGTCAGAAACAATCAATTTATCAAATGGTAGACATTGTAATGTTGTGGTCAAGAAACCTAATATACACAATAGTTTATTAGTGACTTTTTATCAGATTGATCAATTTAACTCCTGATTTGACCCTGTCCTTCTTCTTATGACATGCTATGTTGGACATGCTAGTACCAGTATATTTCAATGAAGAGCAATTAAGGGTGGGGCACTTTGCAGAATAAACCCCAAACCATATAAAACAAAACAAAAAACCTTTCAAATGTAGGACAATTAAGGGGGTAATGAGTGCATTATTATGTACATGTATCTCGAAATTCATCAATGAAGCCTTACAAAACTATTGACCAATATATGCACTGCTGTTATCTTTGATAGATATGTGGCTGAAGTCTGAAACGCCACTGCCAATTTAGATCCCATGTGAGGAATATATGTATAAAAATACATTTTTGAAAGAAATGACATGGCTTGGAAATCTATTTGTTTCTTTAAATTATCTTTTTGCAATACAGGACCATGAACATTGGGCACATCTTCATAGGACTGTCTGGGCCAGTCTTGATGGCAGCAGTCACGAGTATATCTGCCACCTGGTTTCCAACTAATGAACGTACCACAGCAACGGCCCTCTCAGCTACTTCGCCGTACCTTGGACTTGCAGCCTCCTTTGTCATCGGACCAGCCATTGTGACAGAAATTCACAGTCCAACAACTGGGTATGTGACATGTAGTTCAGCCATTATAATAAATCTGAACTGCAGGGTAACATGATAATGCAGTATTGAATGACTAAACACTGCAGTGTAGAATATATGACTGTGATGGATTATTACATTTTCTGGCAGTGGTGAGAATAGGGAAATGTTTTGAGAACTTTATTGGCTTGCATCGTAGTCAAGTGAGCATTAATGTGGTGTACTCAGGCCTGATAATTACCCGATTTAAATCGGTTTCCTGATTATTTTTTTCCCAATTTTTTTTTTTCCCAATTTTTTTACTCAAAAGACGGGGAATATTGTTATTTAGATGCCATTTTTTTCTTCCTGAATCTGTTTTTTTTTTTTTTTTTACTCACGGGGCGCAGGTGGTTGAGGAAAAAAAAAATTGTTCTTAGTGCTCACTATCACCCCTGTATAATGGTTCCTTAGATATCAATCACTTTATCTCAGTTGAGAGTTTGATTCATGGGTCATTTGTAAGGGCAGAGATTCATACATATCCCACCGCTGCCACCAGAAATTCAGAGATTCCACACACAGGGTTCCCAGCTATCCTGGAAATCAGGGAAAACAAGTTCATTACGGTGACTTAAGCTCACGCACGCAAGCTATTCTCCACTCCTGACGACGGATAGTCAACCTGTTCGAAACGTCGAGCCACTCCCGCCACCCAGGAAATATGAAGAAAAAAACACTTAAATCATGTAAAAAGCAGGGAATAGCTTTGGCACTGGCCTTAAAAGAAAGTAGTCTGTCTAATATCTTGTGTCCACACAGTAGAAGATTACCTATGTGAGTTGTTTGGGGTGTTTTCTTCCTTTCTTTTTAGTGTGTAATATATACGTATATACCTTTTCTTGTCTCTGTAGCCAAGGGGATTAGGTGCATGACCTGTGAAATCTAACTCTATACCTCTATACTAAAAGCCAAATGGGAATATAATGAAATAGTGATCCTGCAATTTTGAGACTCCATCAGGGAAAAAACAGTCATTTTTATTCATGAGAAATGCTGGGAACCGCCACACATTGTTTATAGCCAACCAGAAACAAATGTTACTTGGTTCACTTTGTAAAAATATAGAATATATGAGATGTGCGTTAAAATCCCTGCCTGAAGCATATATGTTCTAAGATGGAGTGGGCAACAACTTTCTTTTATCTTCCTTTTTACTCTGTGCTGATAACAGCTGCCTCAGTTTATGTCAATAATTTGCAAAGCACATTTGAAGCACATATACTAATGAGTAAGCAGATAGTAAGCATTGTGATGTGCAAAATAGGAAAATGTAAAATAAAACTATCAAGAGCTACCAGCTTCTATCAATAGCATTCACAGCTAGCTCTTTTGAAGTGGCATTAATCACGATGTGCTGCATTACACATATTGTAAAATATCATTATTAGTCATGTTCCAATGTTTGCTAAACAGTCGCAGTTAATGGCACGCGGTTGGTGTAAGTAACTCCTCAGAATTACCCTTGAAAGGGATTCTTATGTAAAGAAATGCACACATACCGGTACCTTGATATATACTTTAAAGCAAGCAGTTACTGTCTTGTTATTCTTAACTTCTCGATAGCATAAAGCTGCGTGAAGCTTAATTGATTTGGAGCAGCGGTCTCTTTGATCGTAAATACAAACCTGTCTATTAAGGCCACCTTATGGAAACACAAAAAGTGGCCACTGTAGACAGAGAAGTCATTCTAGACAGGTTGTTCAACACACATTTCTATCTCAAGGGATACAAACTGCATGGCCACTGTCTACAGGTGGCCTTTATACTGATGTGGCAACTAAACACAGGCTTGACTGTATATATTTTCCTGTTATGGTTATTAAGCAGAGAAGAAATGACATTGTTCTTTTTATTTTTCTCTTGCATAGATCCCCACTGACAACGTATAGTGGGAATTATTCTGATGAATATTACATAGGTGTGAGCTTTGACTTTTACCCTTTCGAGACAATTATTCCACATTTTGTGGTTTTTGGCTCAATAACTTTTGATATATACCTGATGCACTAGGAAAACTGGCAATAATTCTGTGCGCAATATACGTAACCATTTTTGTTGCATGACCTTATTGCGTGTGATGCCAGGAAGTTTTAAAGGAAAATAAGCCGTTAAATTCTTGAATTGGCAACACATTTAAAAATTCAAATTCATTGTTATTCAATCAAACTAGGCCATTCTCCAATATTTGACATTCTTGCAAATATATATGGTTTTCAGAGACATAACATTTCTTTTAAAGAGGTAGCAATCACAGAAAACATTAATGTTGCCCATTTGAATAACAATATGTGATTAATTTAACCCTAAAGATAAATTCTTTCCATAAAGGGTTAAAGATAATATCATTGTATGACAATAATCAGACTATTATGAAGTCATATCAGGCAAAATTATAATTTTGCATTGAGGTCGATACATGAAGAATTAATCTGTTTCTATAATATGCCTTCGGTTAATTGGAAACGACCCCTTATTTCTTTTGAGCAACTTAACTTCAGTTTTATAGGAAACACATTAAAAGCCTCAATCAAAGTCTGCAATTAAAACTTGATGAGATGATATACTTTAAGAACAGGAAACCAAGATTAGCCATTCAAAATGTTTTGTAGTATTTTGATTGTTTAAATAAAAATGGTCAACTGTTTTGTTTACAGATGATGAAAATCAAGAGCATCTACAGGAAATTCGAAAGCTTATGTATGTAGGTGAGTTCACCGAGCATTATATTTGTTTTATTTTTGCATTTATTTTTGTTTTTGTTTTATTCTTATTTTAATTTTAATTTTAGTTTACAATTCCACCAAATAATCACATTCAAAGTGAGATGTTGTTATAAAAGGTGTAATATGCTTCTAAACATCATATCAACTCTGTGTCCAAATTAAGCCATTTGTGTCTTCAGCTATTACATGAGAAACACTTTTATCAAAGTGTAATTTGCTTCAATTCAACAACAACAAAATTAAAGGAGTAACATGGGACACTATACAGATTGCATTTCTACCTATATGAAGCATCCATTTTCAGTGCAGAATTTCTGAACTTTGGTTCAAGTTAGTCATAAAATCTTCAGGTTATGGAAAAAAATCTCCCATCTAAAATTGGGTCAGAAACATAACAATATCTTGGGTCCGTGCACTGAAGACAATTTATTGAATAGGGTGTGCCTCTGGCCTGGGAGTGCAATTTTTATGAACAAAAAAAACTAAGAATTCTATGCATAATACTATACTAAAAAAAGTACATGCACAATGCTTTTTATGGATGACCTTTAATCTGCACCAAACAATATAAAATGCAATGAAGTATAGCAGCTTAATACAATAATTGTGAATTGCAGCATTCACGCACAAGATGCCTAGCTTAGACTTTAATAACCACAGATAAAGAGGGATTCGAATAGAGTTTTATGCCTGACTAGCGAGTGCAGTTTAGTCATGAAGCCACTTAACTCAAGGTCATAGGAAAAAAAAGTTAGACACAAACACGACAATTTTTTTTGGGATCGTTTTGTAATTGTCGTATTCACAGAAATTCATAATTGACAACAATTTATTGAAATAGGCTGTTTGTCTGACCTTGGTGCTGGAAAATCAAATTCTTAGGATCAAAAAGTAGGAATTCTATGGACAATATGATGGTAAATCACGTCTTTATTAGACATCATGCACAAACAAATAGGCCTGTCAACCCAGTGGGTTAGGAGGCATGCAAGTTACTTATAATCAACAATATATACAATTGTACAGTACGATAGCAATACAAATTACAATGTATTAATATATGTGTTAAAAAAGGAGCACCGGGATAGAGAGAAAGAAAAAGGGAAGAGGTGAAAAAGAGAGAAAAAACAGAAGACCTTATCCATTCAGGGCTCCAGGTTCACATATAAGTCACCAAACGAAATGATATATGATCACAAGACTACAGATGATATTAATATATCAGTAACAGCATGAATAACAATCTGTGGGGGCTGCCAATAGCAAAGTTGCAGAGATTTGCAGTGGTGTGATTACCAAGCTACCAGCACCATTCCCATATTCTACATATAGAATAAGTACATGTCGGCTTTTGATGGATGACCTCTTCATTGAATGATATGAAGTGATTTGAATGCATTTTGTGTCTGGCTTTAGCTACTTGAAGTCAAGGACTGTTGCACAATAGACTAAAAAAAAAAATTAAAAGAGACTAGGCTAGACTAGACAGAGAACAGACCTTCGCGCCCAGAGTAATACTTTTGTGTCTGGCAAAAATTTGGAGCAAACAGTATTGCGGTATGGCAGTATCTGAAACCTAGTAAAATAGCATTTGGTTTTGATATATGATGCCCAGTTCTTTGATTAGTTTATTACACTTCTATCCATATCAGTGTATGGTATTATACCTTTTACATTTTAGCCAATGTAGCTGGAAAAAAAAATCATTTTATTTGATAAATTTTAGGGATTATGTCTATGTTTACAGTTATGTTTACAGTTAAGAATTCCAAATGAATATTTGGTATCAACTTCTAATTTATATATCAAAATAAATATGAATTTATCCTTCTTTTTTTAAAAGATGATATGCAACTAATCATACCATCCATGCATGAGTGAGCATATAGGTATTTTATGATAAATTAATCTCAGAAAGAAAAATTGCAAAAATATGGGGCATCGATCTAGCCATTTAAATGTTGATGAGCATTGGAGGTACATCCTATTGCTCGTCCACGATCTTTGGTGGAAAGGAGAGGCATCTTTACCGTCCTTGTTAAGACTATGGATCGAGTCCTGAGACTCGGGCTACAATTGACATCCAGAGCTCAAATAATCCTCCTCATTATTTCTCATTCTTTGATTTCATCGTTGATCAAGATTGTCTTACAGATGCACATCATAATATTCATTACAATTTGAACGGCCAGTTGCTCCATTTTTGCAAATTTCTTAGTCAGACCTACCAAAGGTTACATGATTGTGCCCATCCAAACATGCAAGTTCAAAAGTTGATGTTGGTGTTATGTTTAGAAACAGGTGCATTGAAACTATATGCCATTGAAACTTAGAATATATGCAGAGTGCAGCTGTATAGCTAGGCACTGCTCATGGTTATTCATAAGATGTACAATGTACACATGTATACACACATTGCAAGTGAAGGCAAATGTGCATGTGCAAGGGTTTTCTGGTCTGTCCTATAACTTCACATATATTTCGTCTGTCATCCCTCTTACAAACAAATAACACAATATAATACACTTCAGTTATTGTGGGATAGCCTGACAACGACTACTGGGAGCCAGCCGTTTATTCAGTATGAATGTTTAACAAAACATATTTCTTCTTGTTTCCTTCATGTTAAGGAAACTGGACCAACTGGTCCAGGGTAAAAAACCAGAGGTAAAATTCAACGAAAACAAAAACTCTGGAAAACCTTAAGACCCAACATTTCACATCGCACTTTCATTGTAAATAAAAGTTGTCTTGTTGAAAGTTCAAGCTAGAATGATTCAATTACACACTAATTCATGCCACGACCTGGTGTCTGTGGCAGAATTAGCTCCCACACCTGTACGAGCTGCATGCCTATGCAAATTACATTCCACCAGGGCAACAGCCCCGAACCCAACATAAGTATGCATTCATTAACGATACAAACAACATTTGCCTGCTATACAATCGTACTGCAGACAAATATTATTCTGTACACAGATTGATGCACATATGTAATATGCACATGTTCAGACAGTCTGGGTTAAATTACCAATTAAGCAACCACACGTTTTTCTGCAGGCTCCATTTTGTTGATGTCTCTATACTCATATTTATTTAGCCTAATAGTTACTAGTTTCCAACCCACAACACAACAGTTGGTAGAGTATCAAATTTTCTTTAATTTGATATAGCTTTCATTATATTTAATTGATGATTTTTATTGAAATATTGAACGATAGAGAGTACCCACTTTCTGTTTTGCTGAGTGTAGTTATTGCAAATTGCAGAAATACTCATGAAACAGTATGTTTTGTTATCTTTATATTTCAAAATATATTTGATAATGATAAAGAGATATGCAAGAACACTTCATGATATTGACAAAATTTAGGTTTCATTGAATGATGCCAGCAGTGCAATAGAGTATTATACGGTTCCGCTTGAACTATGGTAGAAATCTAAATCAAGTTAAAAATATCTTCTGTACCTTTACATGACAGCATTGATGATTGATTTGAAGTTAACCTAGATGGTGTATGCAGAAGTAGCTAAGTGATGTAGGTTTTAATAAAGCCCCCATGCACTACACTACTTATAGCTACTTGCGCCCTCTATATAGCAAACAATGCCAATCGGTGCCTGTTGGTCCCTCTTTTTAATTGAAAGCTGATTTGATGAGATAACCACCTGTCAGTGACCTTGCAGGGAGGTCTAATCCCCTTGGCCAAACTAGTGCAGACAGGCTTTAAAGCTTTGCTTGACCACATTCTCAATGATGCCTTCAGATGAGCCAAACCAGCCTCTTACATCATTTGTGCGAGTTTTGAAACCTGCACAGAAAATTGTTCGAAAGACCAAGCAATGGCAAGCATCAGATTTTTAATGTTGATGTATTTTCCCCATTGATTTTCAACAGAGTTTGGTGCAGTAGCTGTGGTATTTTTAGTAGCTTTGATTCGCTTCCCTGCTAAACCTGCCACTGCACCTACTGCTTCGGCTGTGACGGAGAGACAAGATATGAGAACTGGAATTATTGCTTTAGTTAAGTGAGTCAAAATTCGTATACATATACATGTAGTTTTAACTTTTTTGGTGGAGTGACATATATATATATATATATATATATATATATATGAATTCTGTTAATGATCATGAATTTTCAGTGACAAGATTAGATTAGATTAGAATTAAACAAATAATCTGTTCAATCATCGTTAAACCTAGAGTGTTAAATTCACCTTTGAAGGAGTGTACTTACAGCATGTGATGCATGTACTGTACATAACTGACTTTCATTGGAGATATTTATTATTAACTTTTTTTTCTATTTTTTTTAGTTGTATGAATGATACAGTCATATGCTTTTATTTCAAATTATTTGATGACATATCTCACAAATGCATTCTAATGTTGAAAGGCACATGTGTGTTTAAACCTTGTTGATTAAAAAAAGGGGGAAGAGTATAGAGGTGTCATGGTCTAGTGGACTGGACTGTGGATGACATGGATCACGGTTTGAAGTCCTGTCGTGGCGCTAAAGTCCTGTGTCAAGTCACTAATCTGCATTTGCCACTCTTCACCTAATTTTCCTACCTATGAATGTATTCCTTGAATGCTTAAAGCGCCTTAGGGCAGCTGAGTTAAAGCCAGGATAATCATACTATTTTGTAGGCATCTTGAGCATCCCCTGGGAGAATTATGTGCGCAATATAAATATTGCTCTTATTACTTTCAACACAAATAATTATGATTAGGATAACCAGGATTCACTTCAAATACTTTCTGTTCAGATTTTATTATATTCCATTACTAATTAGAATCATGCTCTACGATTGGTCAAAAGTAAATCATGTGATGAAAAAAAGTTCGCCAATCATTGATGGGAGAAGAAAAGTTTGTTGCACTGTGTAGATAGTAGTACTATCTACACAGTACAACACACTTTCACTGAAGATAGAAGTACTATCTACACAGTGCAACACACTTTCCATGTATACGCTGCATATGCGTATTGCTCTCCTCTTTCAGCGCTTTTAGTGTTAGTACGCAAACTTTGGTCATGCGCGAACTATATGGTCACACCACCATACTGCATGCACGTACTGTACGGTATATGTATCGTACACCATTTGCTAGCTGTTAATTGATTACTTTTTGCTCTAAAATGACGGAAGAAGTGAAATGTTTCTGATGTGGAATATAAAGCATAAATAATCACCTTTTGGTTTCAGGCGATGGCAAACTATGAGGCTGTTCACACCGGCAGAGATAGCGCAGTCTACCGCGCGCTAGACCGCGCTATCTCTGCGGTGTGGAAGGTACAACGTCGTTTCGGTCCGCCCAACAGTGAGCCACGGCAAGCCAAAACGGCGTGCCACTGGAGCACCTCTTGGGGGTGGTCCACGAGAGATAGCGCGGTCTAGCACGCGCTAGACCGGAAAGAAAGCTACATCCAGATCACCTCGGAAGTGATAGTTTGCCCTATCCTCTTCACCAAGGGTAGTTATTTGCTTTCTATACTCCGAGAGTTTAGTAGAAAAACAGACTCCGAACAGTGTGTAATTGCCATGTATTTGTGTATTTCTTTTCTTTTTACTAAAAGGAAAGAATCATTCTGGATTCCTGCTATTGCTTATGCTTGTATCACTGGTGTGTTTTATGGTTGGACATCACAATTTGGGGCCATTTTCAGTGACAAAGTTGACCAGGTAAGAAGATACTCATTTCATGCAAAAAAAATATCTGGGGCTGTTTCACAAAGATCCCAAGTCAAACTTAACTTTAAGTTGGACTTAAATATTATGGAGATCGAGCCATTTGTAGCCTTAAAATAAAATATATTCAAAAGCGAAAATTCTAATAAAAAGGCGCTTTAAAAATGTAATATTATTATATTTATCTATCATATCATTACTATAATTAGTACAATCTCTTCATTGTGATTTATACGTAGATAATAACATTTGTGTTGCTAAATGGTTTTATCCTTAGACAACCTCAGGCTGGATGGGTTTTTACACAAATTTAGCATCATTAGTTGGAGGGGCAGTGACTGGCAGGTAAGGAAAAGTAGGAATTAATGTGGTGGCATTTTCACTATAGATCTCGAGTTTTGTTTTAGTTTGGTGAAAGATGAAGGACATATATGTCACCATACACTGTAATAGGTTTGTTAGTGATTGAAGTATATTTTGGCAAAGTTGTAGTACAGTAATAAAAGAAATTTGACAATATCAAATACAAAAGGCAATCCTTCTAAATGTCCTTATATCATTATATTATATATGAACTATCAAAGGTCAATTAATCCCCAAATTCTCCTAAAACATTAGCTACTTGTTTCAGTTAATTCTACAAAAGAAATAAGCTATAGAAAACATTGCTAGTGCATTAGAGTATATTTATATGGTTGATGCCCTATAGGTAAATCATTATTATTGTTACCGGTTCTTTCTACCACGAAGCAGGCGCGTATGCAGGGGGGAGGGTGGGGGTTAACCCCCCCCCCCCCCCCCCCCCCCCCCGCTTATTCAGCGGTCGGCTGAGTCGTTGCGATTTTTTTTGGGACCAAAAAAAAAAAAAAAAAATGACCTCTTACCCCCCCCCCCCCCCCCCCCCCCCCCCCCCCCCCCCCCCCCCCCCGCTTATTCAGCGGCTGGCTGAGTGGTTGCGAATTTTTCGGACCGATTTATAAATGTTAAAACCCCCCCTTGAAAAATCCTGCGTACGCGCCTGCCACGAAGTATGTAATATGCATGTGTATTATACCTCTATCATAGAGAAAATAGTCACTAATATCACCAAAATTATTGTTCTTCTTCTACTTCTTCTTGTTCATCTACTAGTATTACTGTTATTATTATTATTACCCAGTATAGTATTATTATTACTATGACTATTATTATAATCATCAGTATTTGTTATTATTATTACTACTACTATAATCATTAAGAAAGGCGGGTGCTGATTCAAACGATTAGAGAGAGACAGAAGAAATGGCTTGGACACATAATGCGGCATGACGAGGGCTTGATGCTCAGAGTCATAGAAGGTCGTATTCATGGAAAGAAGAAGAAGGGAAGACCTCGTAAAGGCTTTCTAGACGATGTAATCACACAATGTGGAGCAACAGGGTATGAAACAATGAAACGGTTGGCTCAAGACCAAGGAACTTGGAGAGAAACTTGGAGAGACACTTGATATAGAAATTTGAATGGGTCACTGAACCTGTCATAAACTGACAGATCACTATTGATGATGATGATGATGAATTATTATTAATACTACTACATACTACTTCCGGAGTGTTGGCTCAGTCAGTAGAGCGTCCGCCTCACAACCGGGAGGTCGTGGGTTCGAACCCCGGCCGCGTCATACCAAAAGACGTTAAAAGATGGGAGTTGTTGCTACCTTGTTTGGCGTTCAACAATAAGGGATAGAGCAACGTCGATCTGGCGCTGCTCAGTGGCTGCCGGGCTCACGATCAATTGGGCAAAAAGAATTTCCGTGTCGGTTTAATAAAATTTGGAGTGGACTATTAGGCTATTATTATTATTATTATTATTACTATAATTACTTTGTGCTTTGTGCTTCAGATGTGCAGATTACTTTACTGCGAAGATGAAACCCATTCTTCTATTCCTCATCGTAACATCCTCTGTAGCTCTAACCGTGGCTATTCTTCTCGTCCATGACTACATCCCTTTCAACTTGGGTAAGAGTTTTGATACATATACGAAATAGAATGCTCCCAGGGGAGTGTTAACCTCATTATAATTATTATTATTATTATTGTTAGTGTTTTTATTTTCATTATTATTATTATTGTTAGTGTTTTTATTTTCATTATTATTATTATTATTGTTAGTGTTTTTATTATCATTATTATTATTATCATAATCATCATTATTACTAATGTAATTGATTTGTATTAATTATAATCAGCATATTGGTGGGGAGTCTTGAAATTATTAAACCTACCATGTAACCGATTGTGATCCTGAGTTGTATTCTAATGTTTGGATTTTTCCATAAAACTACATTAAGGGGGAGCATTTGAAGTGGAAAAGCCAATCATTCACCATGTTAATATAGCAGTGCAGGTGCGTTGGTCTACCTTTGAAATTTCATCATTGATTTAATTGCCTTGTATACATTGAAAATGGAGCTTGAAACCTTACATTTCATTTATGGAAAACATCACTGATTGATTGTTTTATTTGTTATCTTTCAGCTCATTGAACTTTGGACTGATCAATTATATCTGGAAGTTTGTTGTTTCCTTTTTTGCATTTCTATTTCCATTTTTCGTCCTTGATTAGACCCTTTTTTCTGGAGGTGGATGATTATACATGTGAAGGCTTGTTCAGATATGAATGGCAACTCCGTCTGCGCAACAAAGACTTAATTGGGCATGTTCACTCAGCTCTATGTCATTAGATATAGAAATGTGAAGTGTATAACACTTTACTGCAGCGACATATCTGAACGACCCCTTAAAACCCATCAGCACTAATTTGGCCAGGGGGATTAGACCAAAGGCAAGGTCACTGAAGGGCGGTATCTCATCAAATCAGCTCTCAATTAATTATAAGAAAAAGGGGATCATGGGGGACCAACAGGCACCTTTAGGCATTGTTAGCTATATAGAGGGCGCAAGTATAGCTATAAGTAGTGCAGTGGGGCTTTAAGCGTCACCATTTATGTAAACATGAAACCGAACCTCAAAACATATTATTTTGTCTTCTTTCATAGCTTGGCTGTATGTCACTGTCATTCTATTTGGATTGTTCCTCAACTCCACCATACCACTCTTTCTGGAGATAACTGTAGAGGGCACTTTCCCCATCGGTGAAGAGACGACCACAATTATGATGACTATGTTGAATAATGTAACTACTCTAGGCTTCCTCGTTCTACCCATGGTCCCATCCATAGGTTTGTATGTTGTCATTGAGACAATTTCAAGTTTCCATGTTGATGCAGTATGTGTTTGTATAAAAGACACATATTGCTCCTGTAAAAAAGCTCTGCAGTGATTTCCTATACTTACTAAATTCCTAACTGCAACCCTATAGATCTAGCTTGCACTATTCTTGACCTTAACCGTAACTCTAAACCTAACCTAAAAATGGCGACTGGCTGGAATGCTCCCTAGGGAGCGGAAAATGTGCATACATTGCGTGCGGGTAAGCCTGAATCCGATGACCGGGGTAACAATATATCTGTAAAGCGCTGCAAAATCGATGTATTGAGCGCTATATAAACATGGAATATTATTATTATTATTGAAAATCCAAATGCAACCCTCAAACTAGCCCTACTGTATAGACTAATGCTTTTGATGAAAGAAACCCTAGAACAAACATCGATGAAGCATATTTCATATCATGTTGTATTTGCATGTGCTCGTAAAAAAACAAAGACTAACAATGAAGAGAGACATTTTCGTCTTACATTTATCAGTCAACTGCAAAAATGAACAGAAAATTGAAATAGGACTATTCAACTGGCTCTCATCGACTGCCTGTGGTAATGTGAAACTATTAAAGCATATACAGCCATTGATAAAAGATAAATTAATGTTCAGCCATTTTATATACCAGTAAACTAGAGCAGATTAGCTGTTACAGTTTACTTTTTCATTTCATTTATTTTCCATTAAAAATTCAGAATAAAATACATAACAAATTAACAGCAAAATCGGAAGGACCCCAAGAAAAGCATGCTTGTGAGAATGGGGCCCTGTACAAAAATAATCATACAAGCAAATTATTATAACAAACATTGTAAAACTTATCAAAACAAACATACACTCACCTCATTCATTCACATGCACACATGCACACAGACACACCAACACACACCGCAGGAAGAACATTGATGAGTGCATGACAAAGAGCCTTAGTGCATCTCTCTTAAAAGCTGTCTCTTAACTTATAATCAAAATTCAGTTTTGCATTATTTGAATGCATTCAAGATTCTCGTTATTACATATTGTAGTGTAAAATCACAAAAGAGAATTTCTGCGAGAAAAATATTGTGATGGCAAATGAATTCAAGTATGACTTAGGCAACCCCCAGGTGTTTTTGAACCAATGACCTTTACTTTTTCAGTCAAGTGTTTGACCACTTCACCCTGACACCTCTACTGCTGATCATTTCATAAGGAATAATGAAATCAAATGTAATAATAGTAATCCATTCTTGTATAGCACATAACACATTATGATATAATGTCCCAACACGCTTCCAAAGAGCTTTAGAAGTTACATGTTTTACCCTAGCTTTAGCTAATTATTGTCTCTTCTTTTTTTTTTCTTCAAATTTTCAGTTGACTTTGCTTGGCTGAACTGGGTGATGCTAGGATCTGTGGTTATATGCATCCCTCTTATGGTCTTCTATAGAGAGCACTACAACCGACTTGACTTTGACGGGAGTCATCCAGCAAATGATGGAAACTCACCAGACATCTAATGGAGAAAGTTGTGTTAATTTGTAGTGATTATGTCCCCCCTTCCTGTATCACTTCACGTTGTCCTTGTTTGCGCACGATATTAAGACATTTTGCAAAACAGAACATTTTCAAGTATTTCAGTATTCACAGATTTGAAGGGGAAAAAAGAGATATTTTACGTATTAATTTCACAAAAAGGGTTATATATTTCAAAGAGAAAGTTGTGATATGAATGACACTGGCAAATTCCTTGAAAAGGGGGTACTTAGTACTTTGTTTGAATTTTTACTTGATCAGCCGAAAGAAGGGTTGTATGTAAAGCCTTTTTTTTAGTTTTTTTCAAGCAAAAAGGGGACAGATTTTATGAAAAATATTCTTGAAAGTCTTATCTGAAATAAGGGGGGGGGATTTTTTACACCAATAAACAATCATGTTACCCCTTTGAATATGAAATACTGAACACCACCGGAACTTGCCAGTCCTACCCAGGCTAAATTTTTTACTGCCATGGGTAGCTTTTAGCACCCAAATTGTATATGGTATCCAATATATTGAGAATAGCTTGTCTTTCTTTTTGAAATTCAAAATGGATTCATGACTGTGAAGTTACATTTAAATATCATGGAATAGTGTTTGTATCAAGATGAACTATGATGAACAATCACTGAAATTGGCCAGAAAGAAGGGTTGTATGTAAAGCCTTTTTTTTAGTTTTTTTCAGGCAAAAAGGGGACAGATTTTATGAAAAATATTCTTGAAAGTCTTATCTGAAATAAGGGGGGGGGGATTTTTTACACCAATAAACAATCATGTTACCCCTTTGAATATGAAATACTGAACACCACCGGAACTTGCCAGTCCTACCCAGGCTAAGTTTTTTACTGCCATGGGTAGCTTTTAGCACCCAAATTGTATATGGTATCCAATATATTGAGAATAGCTTGTCTTTCTTTTTGAAATTCAAAATGGATTCATGACTGTGAAGTTACATTTAGATATCATGGAATAGTGTGTGTATCAAGATGAACTATGATGAACAATCACTGAAATTGCAGTTGTCTGCCATTTCTATGTTATATCAATGCTTACTACAGAGGTGCCAACCAGTACGATTTAATCGTATTTAGTACGATAATAAGAGTGAAATACGATAATACGATATCACCTCAATTTTTTTTTTTTTTTTTTTTTTTTTAATATTTTTTTAAAATATTTTTGTTAATGCCCATAAAAACCACGGAATCGCCCCAACTTTGCTTTACAATTTTCTTTTAAAATTTTTATGAAAGAGCAAACATTTTATTTGACTGTACGTACCAGTATCACATTTTTCTGAAATTTTAGTGGCCCGGGGCCAACCGGCCATTGGTGTGTCGAGTTTTCGTGAAAATCTGATTTTTTAGGATACTCAGTTTGTTTTTTTTGTGTCAAGAGGTTGGCATTTCTGCTGTACTACATTATTGCAGATTTTTACAAGAGCTATATTGTGAATTCAGTGCATCATTTTATATGGAGTGGCTTATAGTCACTTGTGTGTGAATCTTCAAGGTGATTTTGTGGCTGAAGCAAGAGCTTGGAACCAAAATGAACTGAGTTTGCAGTTAAAACAAGGTATATAGATGAACATTTACAATTGAATATGTTTTTAAAAAACTAATTACAGCAAAAATTTGGTCTTTACGGTATGCATTTGCGCTGCATTACGACATCAATAGGTTTTTAATAGGTGAAAGGAAGGCCGGTTGAAAAATTCTAATTTTGATGGTAAAATACTAATTTTGATGGTAAAATACTAATTTTGGAGGTGCTGAGTACTAATTTATACTTCCAAAGGTTAGCAGCTCTGTTACTAAAAGAGTGCTTGATAAGAATTATTATTCTAGCATACTATGATCATATTCTCAAATCACAAGTCTCAAGAAAAATAAATTTTTGAATAATAATAATAAATAATAATAAATGATAATAACAATAATAATAATAATAATAATAATAATAATTAATAATTATAATAATAATAGTGGGTTCTTGTATAGCACACATGTCAGTCAGATTTGACCCTCCTGGCACTCCCGATTATTACCCTGGCTTTAGCACGGCTGCCATACGGCGCTCTAGCATTTCAAGGAATAAATTCCTACCAGGTACCCATTTACTTCACCTGGGTGGAGTGTGGCAAATGTAGATCAATGTCTTGCCAAAGAACATTAGTGCGGCGACGTATCCACTCGACCACAACACCTCTAATACTTGTAAACAAAAATTGTAATTCAAATGGAGTCTCAATTAATACAAAATGCTTGGTATAAAATATCAGGCTTTTGTAAACTTCATAAAAATAACTGAAATACATCAGATTTTGTCAGCTTGGGCAAATGAAGAAAAATAGTTGTTGCAGATTTGTATATAGGACTAAGTTAAGTCTGATGGAGAATGTTGATGCCAAAAGGTATTCCATACCAGAACACTGCAATTGCACTTGTATATAAAACGCAAGTATTTACCTTATATTTAGAACGGAAGTACATTTCTACCTCAATTATGTTTCCTTTGCCATTCGTTGCATTTTTTTCCTTTCTATGATGTATGTACAAAGAACTTTCATACCTTTTTTTTAAATTTCCTCACATTTTTACTGATCTTCTCCTTATTTTTACTGTATTTACTATTAAAAACCAACTTATATTGGTCTATCTTCACTTCAGCACAAAATATTTTATATGTATTACCATTTGTCATTTTCTTATTTATTTGAAGGAATGTATAAATACATGCTTGTACAATTATATGTTGTTTTCATGTATCTTTCAAGTGATTTTTTCTTCCATATTTGTAAATCTTATGCCTATGTATTGTAAAATATAACTTGTTATAACGAGACTCCTCCCTCTCTCTCTCCCATTCCCTCTTCCCCACTTCAACTCTCTCTCTATGGAGATAGCTCCTCGTGGTTGATTACTCATGATATTAAAGGTACTATGTCCCTTTTAAAGCCAACCTCAAATTCTGTAGAACTTTGCAGGAATTATGAATATGTCATGTATGTTCTATCTGTGAAATTTGAACGTTAGCAGTGTCCTAATATTCAAATTATGCAAGGAAACCCGTTTACTTGCTAGACTTAACTGTCGGACACTATTGAGTGACTAACTCGCTTTTTATCAATTTGGTAATAACATACATAAAATGAGTTGTAAAGGGTACATGAGCATTTGTCTACATCAATAACCCACTTCGTGTGATGGCCAAAATTAAACTGATTGAATCTTTGCGCAGCATAAAACGTATGACCATTCAGCACAATGGTCTGAAAATCAAGACTATTACTTATTGGCTCTATAGCTCCTAAGTCGATTTGACAACTAATAGTCGTAATTTTCCCTCTTGAAGCCTTTTTTAAGCCCCACCTTTTTTAGGGAAGCTCTAAATTAGCATTATCTTTCAAATGCCGTTGGAATTTAACCTTTTCATTTTTTGGCCTGCAAATGGGACATAGTACCTTTAAGAAGAGATTGATAGATATGACCACAGTATATAAATGTATAGTGAGGTATTCCTAATTAAGAAAATAATTATTTACTCTTTGTCAGGAATCATTAATCTTTTCATTCAAAAAAAAAATGATGTTATAATGTTCTCTTTTTCGCTTTATTATTGTGGATGAAAAGCATCCAATGTAATCCAAATCTCGGTCCTGGGTTTTATATAACGTCTTTATTATCATGTTACATGTATTTTCTTGAATAAAGATGAATAAACAATGTACCATGTGAATGAAGCCTTCTAATAAATATTTTTTGAATACATAATTACATGTTCATTTTCAGTTGTACTCGTTTGTTTTATCAAATGATATTAATTCTATATTCCTTCCCGTCTGATTGGTATGTCCTGTGAAAGGATGCGAGAAAGATAAATTTCTTCTTTTCAGCATCATTAATCAAGAATCATTCTTGATACAAAATAAAAAGAGGGCTACTCACAAGGGAAAGACTAGTCCTTATTAAAGCCAGGTTTATAAAACTTTAACAGACAGCTCTATTTTACTTCTCTGCCTCTATATAAATCAACTGAATGGAATTTCCTTTTAATTTCCCAATGAACGACTTATTTCAATTCCCTACTCTCATTCATCATCTTTCCTCATCATTTTTTAAAGTCGGTATTTTCCCTCTTCCAACTTACTGACTTTTGCCCCATTATGACACTGCCTCCTGTTCTTTTCCTCTTAAAGCCCCACTGTCCTACTTGCTCCCTCTATATAGAAAACTTCCCTAATCGGTGCCTGTTGGTCCCCCATGATCCTCTTTTTCTTATGTTAGTTGAGAGCTGAGTTAATGAGATAGCCACCTATCAGTGACCTCGCTGTGTGGTCTAATCCCTTCTGGTCCAGTAGTATTGACGGTCTTTAAGCATCCCCTTTGTTTAGACAACCTTACTGCTTTTTTTCTTCATCATATCTTTCCATGAAACCTTTGACCCTTTAACAACTTTCAAACTGGTGTGTTGGCTCGGTCAGTAGAGCATCCGCCTCATAACCGGGAGGTCGTGGGTTCGAACCCCGGCCGCGTCATACCAAAAGACGTTAAAAGACGGGAGTTGCTGCTACCTTGTTTGGCGTTCAACAATAAGGGATAGAGCAACGTCGATCTGGCACTGCTCAGTGGCTGCCGGGCTCACGATCAATTGGGCAAAAAAAAAATCCATTTTCGGTCTTAATAAAAATTTGGAGTGGACTTTAAAAGATTATTATTATTATTATTATTATAATTATTATTATTAGCTTTAATATTTATCAGACAGATCAGTATGTGGGCGTTTGTGTGCATGGGAGAGAGTGTATGTGTGCAAGTAATTTTTTTCTCTCCTTCTATTAAATAAGTAATAATTTAAATAATGTACATATTTATTTTAACACAATCACTGGAGACAGATTTTTACATAAAGCCCAGCCTTCTTGTCTTGTCTCAAAATACTTTCACTAATGAACATGTTTAGATCTTTTGTTTTGTTTTGTTCTTTTCTTGTCTTCTCCGCTTCTGCGATTCTCACGTTATATATTATAGATATTATATTTCAACTTTTATATGTTTGTTTACCTTTGTATATTTACTGACTTTTGCCCCATTATAACACAAATGTCACAAAGCTTTTTATCAATGACAAATGACAAAAATCAGTGACAAGTCTGCTGATAACCAATCAGAAGCAAGGATTTCAGTAGCTTATAACAAAAACTGTCATGTGTCACCGATGACAAGTTTTGTGAAACAGGTCCCTAGACCCAACCTTTCCATGGCCTCTCTTGAGTTCTTTCTTTAGGACAGTTTCACATCACACATCTTCCATACCATTTCACTTTCTGTTCTCCTCAAGATACCTTCTTCTGTCTTCACATTCGAAGTTTCTGAACCATATACCATTCCTGTTCTAAGACGAGCCTTATAAATCTTGCCTTTTATTCTCATCGTAAACCTTTGAAATTCAATTTTTTTTTCAACACTTTCAAGGGACTAACGAACATTGTTCAGATGAGAGGAAAATGGTGCTAAGGTAGTGACTTCAATGCTGTATGTACAATTGGAGATAATCTGAAAATTTGAATGAAAAACGGACCATTTTTAGTGATAGAAATTGGGAAAAACTGATCTGATCACATCGTTAATTCTCCCAACTATATTATTACAATTTAATACATTTTATGTAAATCATCACAAAGCAATGAATTGGCTCTATATACCATTCCAGAAATTTAAGTGTAGAAATATTTTTAAAAGCCTGTTTTAATGTCTTAGTTTCATAGAAAAAAGGTTGGGAAAATTAAAAAATGGTTGGGAGAATTTACTGTTAATTAATTAAAGGGTGCTGCACAGTGACACCTTCAAAGAAAACCATAAATATCTATGGTTTGAGAATTTGGGGCGTTTTAGAGGGTTAGTACAGTAGAAGGAATATATTATAATAAGTAACATTTCATTAAAAAATACGCAATTTGTTCATCAACCTTCAACAATGTTACAAAGTCACTCTGTTCTGTTCAACAGTTCATATAAAACACTTTTTAGTTCTGTTAAAGGGAGTGTAGCTTAGCAAATTCTGGTTAAAGCCATCTAGGTCTTCTTTTGGACAACTGCACGTAAGCGAATGGACTTGATTAATGGTAGTCGGCGCCTTAATCTCTACATGGTCGGCGTTTGAGTAGGTCGCTTAACTTGGCACCCATTAGAGGAAGAAGTGAATAGAAGATTAAGCCTATCCAAGTTTAATTGCACAGCTCTACTGTTTGACTGTTTGGGATTTTCAGTTCCAATATTCGGGCAACCATCACCTCAAGTTCGAGCAGCAAGGTGCCCAAATTTAATTTTTATATCGTATTTGGTGTATTCTAAAGATGAATCAACATTTTTTCCATGGTGGAAAAAAAAAAAATTATTTGCTCACTCACTTCATTGGCTTACAAAATTTAGACACAGGATGGTTGATATTTGGCCAAGAGACCCGTATACATGTAGTTCACTACTCCAGGGTGCAAATGATTATGGGTACTCCATGGGTGATCAAGAAAATATGATTACTTTCTTAACTTTTGCAATCTGTTCTTGCGATTTTTCTCCGGTGCTCCTGTATCCTTTCATAAACTTTGAGGGTGGAATTCCCTTCAGTTCTACTAGAGGGACTGGGTAATTGGTCATTTAGTACCACACTGACTTCATATTTGAACCTCTGTCCTTCCACTCTGGGGATCAATGCCATAAACCACAGAGCTAATATTGCACTGTCCAGTGTCCATCTCTTTGAATCCTTCATTTCATTCTATGTCATGTGCCGGATGCCTTCTTCTTGTGTCCTTTGCTATGATGACCACTTCTCTGATGACCGGTCGGGAGTGTCGGAAAGGAGAAGCGTACAAAGTCCACTTCTATGTCTATGGAGGAGTGCTTGTGAAATTTGTAGGACGAGGGCAAATCAAACCGCAACTCTGGAAAATGAAAGAAAAGAAAATAAAATATCAAAAATACTCCTGCTCTTTGGAGTACTGCTGGACAATACTTCCAATACATGGAAGGAAACCTCACCCCCAAAGAATAAGTGTAGGTACGCTGAAAGATGAGATCTATTAATGCCTTCTGACAATTGTAGTACAAAGGATAATAGCAGTTGAATGAAATACTTCATCACCACACACATCTGGGAAGGAAGCATCCATAAATTTGAATACATTTTCTTGATTAACAACTTTGTATACATGTACATGTAATAATAATAATAATAATAATAATAATATGTCTTGTTTACCCAGGGTAGCCTCATCAGTATTCATACTGTTCTCCCTGAGGGCCCTGCAATCATATCATTACCCCGGCATCGGATTCAGGCTTACCCGCACACAATGTATGCACATTCTCCACTCCCTGGGGAGCATTCCAGCCAGGCATCATTTTTACATGCGCACACTTGCTAATCTAAGCACATTAGCTTTCGCATCCTACCAGGTACCCATGTGGTACATCATGTTATCAAAAAAATGGCGATGCCCATGTCATGCTAAGAAATTGTACATTGTACCTCTCTCTCTTGTACACTTTGGTGGGGAATCTTGTAGATTAATGGGCAAGAATACAATTAAAAATCTCTCAAAAATAATTTAAGTTATTTCATGGGATGGTTTCCTTTAGCTTGAAAAAAATAATAGCACCTCTACTACCTCACCTGCAACAACCTCGCAATCCACACCCCACTGCACAGCTTTCTTCTGAATATGCTGCAAGACAAACAAGATATATTGATATATATTGCACATTACATTATCATCTTCAAATTAATAATAAAGTACAGTGGAAACTCATTATAAAAAGATCTGTTATAATGAGGTATCTGTTATAACAAGGTGATTTTGCTGGTCTCGGCTATATGATTGTTTGTTTTTTACCCCGATTTAACAAGATTCCTGATATAACAAAGTAATTTCTACGTTCCTCCAAAGGACCTCATTATAACAAGATTCCGCTGTACCCCCAAATTAACTTAAGCTCAATATGAAATCTCCAACAAACTTCTCAATTTCTTATAGCTGTTGAATGAATAAATGCAATGAATTGCATGAATGCACTTAAAAAAAGAAAATTATCATTTTCAGGGCAGCTGACACAACATTTCCTTTACCAATATAAGTGACAATTATTTCTTTCTACCATATACCCCCCCCCCCCCCCAAAAAAAAAAAAAAAAAACAAGAGTATTCAAACTTTAATGGCATACATATACTAATTAGTAGTAATTGATAGATGCCTTCCTATAGAAACATGAACAACTTTAACCCTTACTGTACTGGGGGGGGGGGCTGGGAGACCCCCTCCCCCTCCCTTGACATTTTTGAAGATTGCGCCGCAACCGCTTGGAATTTTGAATTGTTGTTTCATGACTTTTTTCCCTCTAGTCTTACGCACATTTTGATACCATTTCCGTCGAAATCGGATATACCTGTAAGGTGTTACATAACAATTGGTATGTGCATGTATTCATGTACAAGCAGAAATGTGAATACAGGTTTAGATGTATTTCTTCCTAAGTGGGAGATATGAATTCATATCAAATTGCTTTTATATGTTTCTCAAAGTAACTTAATGTATTCCAGAACAACAGAATACATTAGAAATAAAACAATAGATATGATAAGAAATTAAAAAAACAATAAAATACATGAGAAAATAAATATTTGAAAAAATTGCACCAAATTTGCATAAATTATCATTATTAATTACATCAATCAAAATAACTATCTTGTGTTAGAAAAGAAGTTTCATATGAATAATGAGTTTCAACATTTAAAAAGTGGAGTCTGACAATTTTTGTAATGATTCTAGTTCCCTATATATATATTTCCAGATTTGATATTCATGAATGCGTAATTTGCGTATTCATAATTTATGCAAATTAACCTATGCATTTTCAAACATCATAAAAATAATGAAACCTCATAAATTTGAGATGAAGGAAACATTTATTCAATACATTTTTTTGCTTATTATGAAAAAAACTAATTATACCATCTTGTTCCTTACGTAAATATCTACAAACGTGCAAATTTTTGTGTTCATCAGACATTCGGCGGCCGTCAGTGAGGTGCTCAAAATAGCCCAATACAGAAGTGTATCACATTTTTTGTGAATCTATCTGGATCATCTTACCTGCCTTGTTGATGTTTTGTGTAAAGAATAGACAGACTTTGTCGCCATCTCCAAACCCAGCTGTACAAACTGCAAATCAATCCCTGGTAATACAGATATAATGCATTATGAGACAATGGAAACAATTTGGAGAACCACAGAGAGAAAAGAACTCATTGACCATAGATGTTCATGACTGCAACAACAACAACATCAACAAATTGTTATTAACCTCTATATATTTTATAACGGAGATGTAAAAAATGTATTTATAAGGTAAATAAAATGTTGAAAAAGACACAACCTATACAGTTAATTTACAGAGTCAAACCTATTGTCGTGTTGGGATCGGATTTTGAAGATGAGGAGCATAAATGAAGAGACTCTGTACTAGTTCTTGTTACAATTCAATAAGGATTCATAGATACACAACAGTCTTAATACAATTACAATGTGCAGAATGGGAGATGCAAATAATATGTCTCTCTGGTCTCTGTAGTTTATCTAATCTCCTTCTGTAGTTGAAAAAGCCCCTAGAGTGAGGCTTTCTCAACTACGAATACACAGCCGCCATTTTAAAGCTGAAATGTGTTTGGCTTATAAAAGCACCATCCATATTTGAATATCGAGCCTGATATAGCTTGCAACATATTGAAACTGGATGCAAATTCATGTCAGACAAAACTGACATGTCCAGTGAGTTCAAAAGAGATTCTACAAACCTGCAGACTACCTCCCTATTCACACAAGGGTAACATTCTTTAAAGCTGATTAGTTTAAAGAGCTTTTAACTAATCAGCTTTAGATACAACATCATTCACACACAGAAAATTTTGGTGCGGTCGTTCAAGATTCACTGCTCTTTAAACGCTCAGTAGGGCCATTGCACATTTACGAGCAGTGACTCGCTAGATACGATGAATTTTACCCCTGTGTGAAAAGGCTGTACGACTAACCTTTGTTGTGCTTTGTTCCAAAGGGTGGGTTCATGATGACCGTGTCAAACTTTTTGCTCCAAGGCCCTGCCTCCATCTTGGTAAGGTCAGACTGGACAGTGTCAACGCAAGGAAGCTCAAACTCTTCACAGTTCCTCTGACAGATCTCCAGAGCATCTTGGTCAATGTCAAAACCTATGCACAGACTGAAAAGGAATTGTTGTGACAGATTATCTCAATCCTTTAAAGGTAAAGACCATTTCTGGTCATGCGATTGCATTGTGAAAGAAACGTTGTGGTATCGATCAGAAAAGTTGATCATCTAGCATATAAGTATTGGTGTGTACTGCAAGGTTCTGGAATCATCAAAATGATAAGAAATTTGACCCAGTCTTAGTTCTTTAAGTATTGGAAACGACCCAATTTCAAAAAAATGAAATAGAAGCTCTTATTACCAATCATGTGAAAGAATATGTTTGGACTAATACATAATTATAACATTTTTGCCAGGAAACCGGCTAGGCGCCTACTAATTGATATATTTGGTAAATTAGATTATCTATTGTTATGTGATAGATAAAACGCATGTGTCGCGCATGTGTGCGTAGTCCCATATACATCTTTCTGCGTAAAGTGCTTGTAACTTTACCAAGACTGGGCCAAATTTCTTATCATTTTGTTGATTGCAGAACCTTGCAGTACACACCAATACTTATATGGTAGATGATCAAACTTTTCTGATCAATTCCACAACGTTTCTTTCACAATGCAATCGCATGACCAGAATTGATCTTTATCTTTAATTACAGTGGTAATGAAGCCATTCTTTTTTTTACTGTTACATTACTTCAATAAAGAGAGTTCAATGAATCTGATATTAACAATGAAGATGAAGCAAACATGAAAAAAGGGGTTGTGATTATTGGGGTATGTACATTTTTAATTCAGCATTGCTAATTAGTCTGCATAACTATTTATTCCTTTTCCTGCTTATTTTTCAAATTTTCTATTCTAAAAATGATGTTAGTGTAGTAATCCAGAATTTATGGATGAAAAAAGAAAGAAAGAGAGACATTTAAACACCAACAGTAAAAATAATGTACCAGTTCAGTGCAAATAGCCCAACATTTAAAAGTTTAATCACAAAAATAAGACAAATCTTACCCTGCATCAAGCATTGCAGCTCCAATGCTCAACATCCCACAGCCACAACCAAGATCTGCTATCAGATGACCACTAATATCTCCATAGCTTGCCTCGATAGTATGCAGCATTCGAGCTGGAAGATGAATGAAAGACAAGATGCATGTAGATCTAGAACATGTTCCAAGAACGAGAGCCGTTCATATGTACGCAAGTCATAAGGATTATAAAGATTAGTGCAAGTTATCTTAATGAATGGATAAACCACTCCAGCAAAGCATAGAGAGTCAATGCTAATGTGTATTGACCTCTAGCACTGCATACTTGCTGTGAGGCAGGTATTATACACAAATATACACATCACACAATATTGCATAGACTGCACACAATAGGACCGATTGGGCTGATCAGCAAATTCGACACTAGACTTATAATTTGAATTTTTAAATTATTCTTTTTAACATCAGTAAGTTGGAAAAATGTATTTTACTGCTATTTAAATGTCATCAATTATCACTAAAGTACCGATTTTGAGTGAAATCAGTTGAGTTTTGTACAGTGGAGTTTGAAATGTTGAGAATCAAAAGCACATGCAGCTTTTACTACACAGCCAGGATAGTAATGCAAGTATGTGTGGGATAAACCTGTGTTTTTAACTGTCAAACTGACTAACTAGTAAATCTCTCTTTTATAGTTATGCACGTTCCCATGTACATTCTATCTCTTTACATATTTAAAGAATTTGCGCATATATTCTGTTATTTTAGTCATGTTTAATTGGTAAATTGTACTGTTTTTCTCTGTAAAGGAAACTTTGTCATTTTCTTTGTAATTTCTTTCTGTTTGCTTCCCCTTTGTCGTCTTATTTTCATCATCATTCATCTTCTCCATGTCTTCACAGTTCCAGCTGTTCCATTCTTCTCATACCACTCCCTCTCTTTCTCTCTCTCTCTCTCTCTCTCTCATCTTCGGCATTTCTCCCTGTTTTTCTTTCTAACTTAACCCTCTTTCTTTAAATCGTTTTCTCCCTGACTAGGGAGGCCAATGCCCAAATCTAACTTTTTAATTACTAATTTGTTTATACTAAAACTAAGATTAAAAGAAAGCATTTACTTTCACTAAGAAAATCCACCCATCTGCCGACTCCAGAAGTTCCATCAAATAGGAGATATCCAGCTAGTTCCTATGAGGTTCCTTCTAGGCCTTTCCGTACGTAAGAGCCTTGAAACAATTATATTTCATGTCGCAAAGTTACGTTCATAATTAGACAGGCCCGAGGGACAAAGTTCATGATGAAGTTTAAAACTTCGCGCGAAAGTGCAATCACTCAACAGCGGCTAGCCTTGAATCGGTCGCACACGTACACACCTTCTTCTTCACAGGCAAGCCCCGATGCAGGCTGAAGTCCAGCCATCAATGTGCGAACGATTACATCTTCTACTACTACGAGCCGAAGACGATGGTTCAAAAATGAAGAATAGAAATATATATAATTCATTGATATTTACCTTAGATGTGCATTCCAATAATTTGATTTCCTCATGAGTATTCCTTATTATCAACGATCGAGAAGTTACGAGGTCCAATTAACATCCATCTTGCAGCGAACACAATCATAGCGCACATCCATGCATGCAACGTACGTGTACTAATATTTCTCTCACTCTCTCTCTCTCTCTCTCTCCCTTTCGCTATACGTAACATACACACTCACTAACCATGTATCATACAACACACACCTTCAAATCATGGCTTTCATTTCAATTCTCAATTGGAGTATAGACTGCTCACGTAGACTTTTTTTTTTACTGAAATATCTTTTTTAACACTTCTCATACATTACTGCACGACACTCGTATCTAGTGCTGTGAGAATAAGGTACTAGGGTCTATAAATAAGACTACGCTTTGCGCACGATCTGACCGGAGCTCAGATTATGTCGCAATACCCTTTATTTTTGGCGCGAACAATGACGTCACTGTTCACTGTTTTCCTTCTCATTTTGAGATGGATGTAGCTATAGGGCTCAAACCAACGCACGATTGACAGAAACATCGTACTCTATCTACTTTCGAATGTTCAGTTTGTAAAAATCTGTATTTAAAAAGATATAATCTTTTTTCTTTATATTTTCTAGTTGTTAGAAGTGGCAATTGTGAACATCTGAAATGTTGATCTCTATCAAAAGTTCTTTACTCAAAACGGATCCCATATTTTTAGGGTCTACCTTCTGCCAATGAGAAGGTTTTTAGTGAGCAAACCTCTACGCCCTCTAGGATTTTCTTAGTCGGTGGTGCGAGTGCGTCAAGGTCGTCTGCAACCACAATTATTGGATTAAAAAACGTCAAAATCTGCAAGATTGTCAACAAATGGTGAAAGACTGTTACAGATCCGTGATTATAGGTATGTTGTGAAATGTATAATTGTATTTTCTTTTCTTATTTTCTTCAATTTTTATTTTTACATCATTTTTTTCCCTTAGCTAATTTTTTGAAGTGGGCGACGAGCGCACAAATCGTAAGTGTAGAAGCCTTACGCCCGGGCATTGGCCTCCCTACCCTGACACTTTCTCTCTCAAAGTTTCAGTAGGTCTAGATCTAGAGTAAAGTAGCCCGTTTTCGGCCACTTAAGACAAAATCCTATTTTTAGGACTCTTTACTTCCTATTTATTATCATTTCTTGTTCAAATCATGAAGCAAATATTATTATTATTTACACAAAAAAAGAATCCCAGAAAAAAATCACGAATTGCCATGACAATATCCATTTCAATTTTCACTGTTTTGGAGCCCGTTATCGGCCGAGCGTTTCAGTTTACGGCCGCATGTACAAAGTCAATAGGAAGCGCTCGCGCGCGCCGTGCGTTTCCGCGCTGATGTACAGCACAAGCGGGCGGAGCAGGTATCCCACGCCGGAGCTCCCTGGTGCTCGCCTGGCCGAAGACGGGCACAGCGGTGATCGGAAGTTGGAATCTGAATTAGATAGAGATATCGTGTGTGCGTCGCGGTGTGCGGCTGCATTGATTTAATACATGCGATGACATACTTTTGAGCTTGCGACTAGCACAAAATCGGGCTTTAAATCTGAAAAATACTTGAAATAAAGCTCATTTTATGGTACCCATATTTCTTACAGACACGCGTAAGATACTCGATTTTTCAGATTTGGGTAGCGGGACCGGCGATTACATCGCTAAAATGTGATATTTTAGGATATATTTTCCATTGCAAATGTGGTTCTTCAGTGACACTGGCATGGTATGGTATGTGTGGGATATGTGTTATGCTATTATGCGATGTATTTTAGAGTGATTTTACCTTGTATCCAACCAATCGGCCGAAAACGGGAGCTGGCCGATTACGGGCTCCTTTACTCTAGACCTCTAGATCTAGATCCTACTAGATCTATATTTTATTGGTTAATCATGTTTCTATGATAAATCCTCATATATTACGGTTCGAAATCAAACAAATCTTCAGTATTTACTTGTCATAAACTCAATTAATCAGCCTCAATTTCTATTTAAAATATGAATAGGCCCTATTCCTCACTTAACAATGAATGATTGCAAAAAAATAATAATGACAATCAAGCCACACAAATTTGAGTAGGTTGGGACTAAGCTACACTAAACATGGAAAGGGCGAGGACATGATTTACTTGATTCAACGATACCTGCAATATGTGGCCTAGTTGGATACTGCTCGAGCCATATCTTTGGTTCTTCAAATATATCAACTTGCTGGAGAAAACTTTCAAATTCCTTCAATTTCATTGTTATTCGTGCCTCTCAGCTCTGATTTACAGTTTCAATGCAGCAGCCGCCTCAATACTTGCTCTTTGTGAACAATAGAGGGCTAGGGATAATTTTGGTCAAGGCATGGATGTAGATATATGCGACATATAATATATATTTATATCCCGCATATAAGAATCTTGCAATCAGCTGATTGGTCTAAACGAGGTCACATGATCAATGATAGATAAGTACTATCTCCCTGCGATAGGACTTTTGTAAATGAGATATGTTTTAAAAAACATATGCGAGTAATCGTATTTTAGCACAGCAGCTCAATCACAATGTATCCCATGGTCGGTATTATGAAAATTGTTCGTGTCTGTTTGTACCTGACTGCTATATAAGAAAGCATGCTTGTTAATGAATTAAGCATGCAGCCATGCATGCAGGGGACCGACGGCTGTTAATCCTATCCGATGGATTTGCCAATACATTATGTAATGATATTTCTTTAGATTAACCCAGCAGCAATGAAACCTCAATATTGGATAAAGATTTATTTATATCCTCTGAGCGAGAAACGTATAGGCCTATATTGCCTTTAAATGGTCTGCCTGAAAAGTTGCTAGCTTTAAATCAAATCTAGATAATTACGTAGATAAAATGAAGAGTGAACAGAGTGCAATAAATGAAAGACCAACGTCCCAGTTGAGTGTGGATGGTTTTTGTACACTTCTTTGTCATTAATCTTTTGTAAATGCTGCCCTAGAAGTTGGGGTCTGTGAGAAGAAGTTCGAAGAAAAAATTTAAGGGAAAAAATTGGTGTACAAGTAAATAAACCATGGTTCGATAATGAATCTAAACAGGAAAGGGATTCGTATTTTAATTTCAAGAATAAATTGAAGCGTAAAAAGAAGGGTGAGCCATCTAATAAAATAGAAGAAATTAAGGTCGAAATTTGTAAAGCAGCGAGGGAATACAAACAGTTGCTTCGTAGAAAAATGATTTATGACAGCAAATCTCTAAATCTCAGATCAACATAAAATACGAATCCAAAGGGGTATTGGAAAATTTGAGTTGTAACTCTGGAACTGAGCAAAACAATAACAAGGACTCACTGAATAATTTTGTACCTCATTTTCGTCATTTGAATGTTCAGTGCTCAAGATGAAACAGGTGCAGTACACCAAACTGAAATGGTGTCAGACTTGAACAACTATTAAGGAGGTTATTTCGATGATTAAGAAATTGAGAAATAATAAGGCATGCGGTATTGATCAAATAGGTAATGAATTTTAGAAAAACGTAACCGGTAAGGTTCTGGAAGTGAAAACAATTGTTTTAATATAATTCTAGAAAGTGGAATAGTGCCTCATGATTGGTGTGTTGGATTGATTGTGCAAATATTCAAAAACAAAGAGTCGGACAAAGATCCAGACAACTATCGTGGTATTAGCCTTTTAAGCTGTTTAGGAAAGTTCGGCGGCGGATTCAGGAGGGCACAGGGGGCACGTGCCCCCCCCCCCCGGTAAAAAAAAAAAGAGTGTGAAAGGGGGAAGAGGAAAAAGAAGAAAGAGAGAGGAGATAAAAGGCGGAATAAGAAAAAAGGGCGGAAAGACGGAGGAGAGCAAGGGAGGGAAAGTAGAATAATGAAAAGGGAAAAAAAGAAAGGGGGTGATATTATAAGAAAGGTGTTGTGTTTTTTTTTACCGGGAAAGGGGCGGAGGGGGGCACGCAATTTTGCAGTGTGCATAGTATAGGGTCCCTCCTGCCAGGCGTGTACCCCCCCCCCCCAACTAACAAAAAAAGCACAACAAGAAGAAGAAAAAAAGATGGAAAAGGGGGGAAGAGAGCATTTTTGTGAGTTAAAGGAGAATTAAGGAAACAAATGAAAGAAAATTAAACAACGATAAAAAAGAGGTGCGAAAGCATGAGGAATTGCATTTCTTTTAAAAGAATAATGGGATAATGACCAGGGTCGTTGCTAAAGAGGAAAATGAGGAGAAGGGGGAGGGCCATCATGGCCATGAGAGGTAAATGGAAATAAAAAGAAAAAAAGAAAAGGAAAAGAAAGGGAAGACAGGAAAGAAAAGAGAAGAAAGAAAAAGAGGAAGGAGAGGAAAAGAAAGGAAAAGAAAGAAGAAAAAAGGGAAAAAAGAAGAGAAAAGGGAAAAAAGGAAACGGGGGATGAAGGAAAAGGGACAGAGAGGGGTATTAAGAGCCTATAGAAGAGGGGTGGAAGTGAGAGAGAGAGAGAGGGGAATGTTGGGTGGAGTCACCACGTCGAGGGGGCAAAAGAAATACGCACAGATATAATCATGTTGCAGTATCGGGTTCGCTGTGTCGGTATTCTTGCTCGATCCTCGTGTACTTAATCAATGCAGAAGTTTGAATTCGGTAAAACGTCAAAGCTTCCGCCCCTTCGGAGGGGGGGGGAAAACTACTTTCAGACAAGGATTAAGAGTCGAATACAGTACAACGAATCGTCTTTTTTTCTCTAATAATTTAATGAAACGTCAAAGGAGGGGGAACTGAATTCAGAGAAGGATTAAAAACGAAAACAGTCGACGAATCGTCTTCTTTCTCTAAAAATTTAATAAAACGTTAAACCTTCGCGCTTCGCGCGGGAGGGGGGAAACTGAATTCAGTCAAGGATTAAGAGTCGATAACGATACAACGATCCGTCTTTTTTTCTCTAATAATTTAATGAAACATCAAAGCTTCCGCACTTCGCGCGGGAGGAGGGAACCTGGATTAAGACAAGGACACGATACAATGAATCTTTTTTTTTTCTCTAATAATTTATTTAAACGTGAAAGATTCCGCGCTTCGCGCGGAAAGGCCAAAAATTAATCAGACAAGGATTAACAGTAATATGTAACTTCAAACTTCCGCGCTTCGCGCGGGAGGGGAATTCTGAATTCATACAAGGAATTTTCATACAATTCATACAATGAATCGTATTCTTTCTCTATTAATTAAATGAAACATCATAGATTCTGCGCTTCGCGCGGGAGGGGCGAAACAAGAAGTTAGAGTCGGGTACGTTACAACGAATCGTCTTCTTTCTCTAATAATTTAATGAAGGGTCAAAGCTTCCGCGCTTCGCACGGTAGGGGGGGGGGGGCTAAAAAATTACTTAGTTCCTGGCCCTGGGTTTATAGGGTTAAATATGTAGACGTTGGGACATTGGCATTAATATATTTGTCGGTAATTGGTGGCTAGTTTTGTCGGTAATTGGTGGCCTCTACACCCCGCCCCCACTGAAAAAGGTCTAGCGACGCCCCTGATAACAACACAGTTTATACACTCGAGATAATGTTTTACTACTGGTGAATCGCCAGACCACCGGCTTTGTGCATTGTGCAGCAACGAAGCATATACAACGTCTCTCGACGTGACAGATCACTTTTCTCTAACTTCTAACCAATCAGAAGGCCTCGTTTTTTCCAGTAAGGGCCGGTGCACATTAATGCGCCAAATATGGTTCTCAAATTGCAAATAATCCCTACTCTTGGAGGGGGTAGGAGAGAGCAATTTTACGCCACGTTACTCCAGGAAGTGCCTAAAAATGCGCCTACCGTGGTTCTAAAGTTGCTATGCTTCACACTCACACTCACGGAGGGGGTTCTGACCCCCCTCTAAACCCACCCCTGCTTGGTCGCTCCGCTCCCTCGCCACTGACGCCTCGCTCCATTATTTTGTTTAATATTTCACCAAATGCGATATTGTGCCCCCCCCCCCCCCCGGTAGGAAATTCCTGGATCCGCCACTGAAGTTGTTTACTTCATTATTGAATCATAGGATTACTTTATATTTTGAAAATGAATCTGTACTTGGAAAAGAACAGGCAGGTTTCGCTAAGGTTATTCCACAATGGATCATGCATTTGTGTTGAAATCTTTACTGGATATTTGTTTGTCAAAGGGAGGGAGGATTTATTGCGCCTTAGTGGATTTTAGAAAGCCTTTAATAATAGATAGATCGAGCATCCCTTTGGTATAAATATTTAATGTCAGGATTGAACGGCAATGTATTTAAAGACATTAAGAATAATGCCTCTGCTTAGTCGTCTGTTACGACATGTGGTCAAACCTTTGAAACATTTGCTTTTAATATTGGGGGTAAGGCAGGATAATAATTTATCCCCCTTATTTTTCGCCATTTATATTTATGATTTTGTTGGATATATTCGAACCAAAATTGAAAGTTTACGGTATTTATATGACGGGGTATGTTCTGATGTTCTTGATAAAGTTTCTGATGAAGACTTATTTATGAATTTATATTCATTGCTATATGCAGATGATACTCTTATCTTTGCTGAAAATCCAGAGGAACTCCAAATGGCTTTAGATGCTCTGTCTAACTACTGTGAGAAATGGAAATTGCGTGTGAATAATGAAAAAACAATTGTAGAATGGTAGGTTTTGGGCTAAAAGTAGTTAAGGAAGTCATTGTAAATATTCATTTAGATTCTATAATCTTTTAAAATTACTTATGGAAAGAGGTACCCAGTCTCAATTATCTAAATGGTTGTCATTGTGTAGAAAATAGATTAAATAATGCTGGGCTAGGAAATGTGTGGCAAAGGCAAGGGGATGGATTCAGTAATACATGGATTATTTATGCTCTTAAGCTCAGGTTGACTAACATGTCAAAGCAAGAAATACATATTGTCAAATGTTTGGTCAAATCGCATTATTAAGAACGAAATTTTATTTGAACAGTACTTGTTAAAGTTGAATAGAAGAGGGTGCAATCACTTTGTGCCGATTCCGATGCAGGTCACATCGCCTACCAATTAATAATGGAAGGTTTGAAAGTAGTCCCGAAGAAAATAAAATTGAATGTCCCTGTTGCAATTTAAAGGTTTTTGGAGATGAATTTTATTATATTTTTTTCTGCCCTTTTTTCAAGAAAGAAAGGCAGTTATACTTAGATCGACAGTTTGTTGTGAGTAACCCTAGCACATTTCACATGGACAAATTGTTTAAAAGATCTAGTGTCAAACAATTAAGAAAACTCGTAAAATTCATAACAGTAATAATACAATCTTTTCGGTGGTTCCTAAAGCTGAAAGGCCTGTATT